CAATTTTTTTCTTTTATTGTTCATGCTTTTGGTGTCACATCTAAGAAATCTTTGCTTAACCCAAGATCACAAAGATGTTTTCTTTCTTCTAGAAGTTCTATAGTTTAAGTTTTACGTATAGGTCTGTGATCCATTTTGAGTTTTTTTTATCCTCACTCGAGGACGTACATATTGATCTTAGAAATAGGGGAAGGGAAGGAGAAAGAGAGGGAGAGGAACATTGACGTGAGAGAGAAACATCAGTCAGGTGCCTCTCATAAGCCCCCAATCAGGGACCAAACCTGAAATGTGCCCTGACCAGGAATCAAACTGGTGACCTTTTGCTTTGCAGGATGACACCCAACCAACAAAGCCACACTGGTCAGAGTTCAAAGTTCTTTTTTAAAAATGTACCTAACCAGCCCTGGCTGGTGTGGCTCAGTGGATTGAGCGCTGGCCTGCAAATCAAAGGGTTGCTGGTTCGATTCCCAGTCAGGGCACATGCCTGGGTTGCAGGCCAGGTCCCCAGTAGGGGGTGTGTGAGAGGCAACCACATAGTAATGTTTCTCTCCCTCTCTTTCTCCCTCCCTTCCCCATGTCTAAAATAAATAAATAAAGTTTTTTAAAAAATGTACCTGACCAATTGCTCGAGTGCCATTTATTAAAAAGATTTTGTTCTTCCATTGAATTGTCTTGGCACCTTCTGAAAGTCAATTAACCATATATGTATAGATGTATTTCTGTACTGTGTTCCATTGCACTGATCTATATATCTGTGCTTACACCAGTACTACATTATCTTGATTACTATAGGTTGATTACTGAAACTACAACTTTGTTCTTTTTAAAAATTATTTTGGCTATTCTAGATACTTTGTTTTTTCATAAAAATTCAGGATTAGTTTGTTGCTTTATCCAGGAAGGAGCCTGATAGAATTTCGTTGGGATCGTGTTGCATCTATTATATCAATTTGAGGAGAATTGATGTTTTATCTGTTTTAATTCCTCTGACCCATTAAGATGATATATGTCCCCGTTTATTTAGGTATCCTTTGCCTGCTCTGCTTTTCATTTACTCTTTGGGTTTGTTGGAAAACTGTAGGGGAGGAGAACTAATGTTTACTGACTTGCTACTCCAGACCAGGCACTTCATATATCTTATCTCAGTGTTTCAGAAAGTGTGAGATGCCCAGTGGTTTGCCTTAAATAACATTAAGTCACATCATGAAAAATTTCATCCCTTTTTACTTCTCATTCAACCTAACACGTCAAGGAGAAATTCTTCGTGTGGTCCTGGTATGTCCTTAACAACACTTTAGCACTTCCTAATCTTTATGACAGAGAGGGGACCTCTGGCTCACAGTCTTTGCCTTGCATTAGAATCTAGCTAGAATTTTACAACATGATTTTGTTTTCATTGTATTTATTTTATAACTTTCTATTTATGACAGCTGATACTGGTTTTTCATTTATGGTAGTAATGTAAAGTCAGGCTTATTGAGATACAATTTCCATTCAGTAAAAACTTACCCTTTTAGTGAACAATTTCTGAGTTTTGATAGAGACACACATTAGAGAGTAAATACTATCATAATCAAGGTATAAAATACTTCCATCATCCCAAGAAGTTCCCTCCTGTGTTTGTAGTCATTCCCTCCATGCACCCCCAGTCCCTGCAACTACTGGTCTATTTTTTGTCCCCATAGTTTTTGCCTTTTTCAAAATATCATGTAAGTGGACTCATACAGTATTTTTTCCCATGAGCCTGGCTTCTTTCACAGGATAATGTATTTGAGATCCATCCATATTGTTGCCAGTATCAAGCTGTTTGTTCCTTTTTGTTGCTGATTAACACTTCATTCAATGAATGTATGCTTATTTGTCCATTTACTAGTTGAAGGACATTTATGTTGTTTCCAGTTTTTGGCAATTATAAATAAAGCCACTATAAACACCTATGGATTTTTGTAAGCAGTTAAGTTTTCATTTCTCTAGGAGTGTGATTGAAGGGTCAAATGGTTAAGTGTAGTGTATTTTTAAATTCATAGGAAACTACCAAACTATTTTCCAAATTGGTTATACCATTTTCTTGCTCATCAGCAACATGAGTTCCGGTGATTCTAAATCTCAAGTTTCTTTTTTAAATTAATTTTTTAGGTTTTGAGTTAAAGGACAATTTTTAATAAATAATAGTTTGGGTGGTTTGCCATTGTGACAAGGTAACAGATGGTAAAATATATAGATATGGCAAAAATTATATTTTCTTACTCACTAGGTAGATATTAATGTTGTATATTCCCATGGTACAGATGAGGAAACCAAGGCTCAGAATAGCTAAAAGTAAACTATTCACAGCACTAGTAAATTGTCTGGATTTAATCCAATTCTACCTGACTCCAGTGTTTTTAATTCTGTAGGGTCTTATTTTAAGTCATTAAGCCAAATTTGAACTTTTGGACCTTTATAACTTAGATATAACTATACTAAATGCTATTTGGAAGACTGGATGATCAGGTGTGATTTTAGCTCTCACAGCAAATAGAACTTCAATTGTTTTAGACCTAAGGATGTGCTTTATCTCTTTCTGATGCCCCAGAAAGTCTGTTGCTCTTTCAGCACTTGACACTCACCTCGATCTCATCACTTAGCACTTTGGGTGTGGTGGTCTATTCATGTGTCAGCTCCCCTCCCCACTGACTAGATGGGGAATCTGTTCTTCTTTATTTCTTCAGCACCTAGCACAGGGCCTGCTGCCACATGGGGGGGCATGAAGCCATTTTTGAAAGAATGACAGGTTCTTGAATATGACTGCACAATCCAGGAAATGTATACATTTCCTAAAGTTTAATGACAGTGCTTTTAATTAATTAATTAAAAACTATTTATACTATTGATTGAGCCTCTTCTTGCTATGTGATAAGCATTGTACTAGGCATTCCAACTGGAGGATACTAAGGCAGATATCGCTGGAAATGTGTGTGTGTGTGCACAGAGAGATAATTTTAACATAATGTGGAAGGTGGTAAGTGAAAGATGAAGTGCAATGTCAGTTCAAGGAGGCAGAGTAGTATGATAATTTAGAGCAATGCCTCTCATAGTACCACTCCAGGAAGAAGCTTATGCCAAAATGTGCATTCACGTTTTGCTTCCTTCATCAAAAAAGTCTTGCCATTGAAAAAATTGTTGGCTGAATTCAGTATTGGGTTCGGTGACTGTTGCATGCTCCTCATCTTGTCCTGGACTGACAACGGACACTTTGCTCGCCAATGACTTGTCTGTGGACCACACTTTGAATAACACAGTATGAGCTCTGGAATCACACTGGCTGATTTAAATTCTAGTTCTACCAGGTATTGGCAAAATGATCTTGGGAAATTCTGAACCTCAGTTTCCTCTTCTGTATAAATAGGATGATAATTTTCTTATTTGAGAACTTGAAATTAAACAATGTAGCATATGATAGCACCTAGCAGAGACTGGAACATTTGGAAGATTACAACACCCTAAATAATAATTAATAATTAGTGAAGAGATTTTTTTTCAGCCTGCAGGGATTGTGGTAGCAAAGAAGCATTAAATGTCATTTACAGAATGTTATCTTACCTACAGTGAATCAGCTCCCTGGCACAGTGGTTTTAAATTTTCAGAAGGACTTTTAAAAAGATGCTCTTTTTAAAACCCAACTGTGAAAAGCTCTTGCTGCATTTGTTGAGCACCTACTGTCAACCAGCCACTGTGCTAATTTTTTGTATATTGTTACTTAATCCAAACAAGCATGTTGCACATAATGAATCAAAGCTCAACTCTGGAGCCAGACCACCTAGGTTTTACATGTGCTTTGCTGCATTCTCATTGTGTGACATTGGGCAGTTTGCTTAGTTTCCTCATCTGTAAAATGGGGTTAATTAAAGTATTTACCTAAAAAGGCTATAGTAAAAATTAAGGGAGTTAAAATATTTAAAGTGCTTATAACAGTTCTCAGCAACTCTTGCCTGCCATCATCATCATCATCATCATCATCATCATCATCATCATTATTACTTGGCTATAGTCATATACCTAATAAATGGCAAGGTCTGGATTTCAACCCACTTTTTTTTCAAATTCTCAATCCCTCCTAACTGGTTCACCACACAGCTTTCAGTGTGATCTTTCTAGAATGGAAATAAGATCATGTCACTCTCATGTTTAAATTCCTTTAGGATCAGATTGGAAGTCCTCATATGGCTTACTAGGTATCCATGGCCTGGGCTTGCTTCTCTTAACCTAACTCACACTTTCTTCTCCCTCTCCCTCTGATTATACTGGCTTTGTTTTTGTCACTTCCCACCCAAACACCTTGCATTTGTTCTCTAGAGCTTATAATACTCTTTCCCCTTCACCTAACTAATTCCTGTTTTTTCCTTAGGTTTCATCTTGAAAGTCACTTCTTCAGAGAACCTCATTAAATTAGGTCCTATGTTATATATTTAGTAGAAGCAAAGGTTACATAACTTCCCTTTCATAGCAGCCAATCCTTACCCTTGTAGTTACTTGACTTTTATTGGTCTTCCTTATTAGGCTATAAGATCATTAAGGCAAGGACTGTTTCTGTCTCCATCAGCAGTCTAACCCTACGACCTTGCCCAGTACCTGACATATAGTAGGCAATGAATAAATATTTGTTGACTCGGATTGAGATCCACTAGACATGGACATGATTCCTAGAATAGCAGAATGAATGGTGTGCTGTTTTTTGCTGGCTCTTTGTTCCAAATAGCACAGAGCATAAAGAGATATTTATTTTCAGCAACTCATTTCTCTGCACTGATTGAGGTTTTTAGACTACCAAATTGTTTGGCATTGTCACTGCCCAGCTTTTCAGAGATGAAATCATTTTTTCTCCTGATTTTCATTTCATTATGATCCATTTTTCCTCTGAGGGGGGCGGGGTAGGGCTTTGACCTTGAGAAGGAGAGCAGGGGAGCAATGTTCAGGCTTTTGTTCTATAAATGGTCTGCTTTGCTGTAGCTGCTACTCACCTAGGAGAGGAGAGGAAGGGGCCTCGCATGCAGGTCTCTTCATTTGCCTGCCTCCCTTGCTGAGCAGCTGCCTGGAGAGATGGAAGCCTTACTCAGCTGGGAGCAGCTTCTAAGCCTGAAGCTGATGTAGCCCCTGTGCTCTGTGGAGAGAAACATCATCACTCAGCATCACTCTCTGTAAGGCTACTCTTTCTGCTTTTTTTTTAAGTCCACTTACACTATTTAAAATGAAGGTATAATTTATATGTCGTAGAGTCCATAGATTCTTAAGTTCCCCAGCACCCCCGCCAGCTCCCATCTGTCACGTCTCAGGCAGTACTCCCAAAAGGTAGCATTATTTTGTCATGTTAGATTGAATCTTGAAATTCAATTATTTCATTTCTTTCTATCTGTCTTTACTGTGATCATCCAAGTAATGTTTAAAATGTAGAAAATTTGGAAGGTATGGAAAAGTATAGACAGTAATGGAAAATTACCTATACTTTTATGACTCAAAGGCCTATTCTACTTTGAAATGACCAGAGTTCCCAGTATTCCCCTATCAAACTATGTCTGGTTTTTCTGTTGGTTCTCTGAGGGTCTCTCATGCCTCCTTGCCTTTGTAATAACTGCTACACTTTTTGGGGCAAACACATCCATCCATTCTTTAGATCTTGATAAAGCACTACTTCACCTATGAAGCCTTCCCTGAACCCCCCTTCTCTTCCTATTGTCCCTATAATATTTGGTACATACCTATTATTGTCTTTGTCTTACTGTAGAGAAGATGTTCATGTACTTACCTGTTTCTCCAAAACACTCTGAGTGAACTCCTAGAAAGCAAGGGCTACATATATTGCCCACCAGAGTGCTTAGGGCAGAAGAGGCTCTCAGTAAATGTTTATTGAATGAATGAATGAACAAATCAATGAAATATTGATAAAGTATGTGAAGAATAAAATTATACTCAGTAGCAAGAATGGACAACTCCCTTTAATTAGTCAGACTTATCTGCAGAATGTCAAAAAGGAAAAAATAGTATTTTAGAGTGCTTTTTACCTTCTTGAAAGCTTTTACATAGTTATTTTACTTGATCTCCCATTACAAGGCTATGAATGTGTCATTTTTTTTTAATATAGGGAAGTTACTATCAAGTTTGAATTGGAAGAGGAGGAGATCAGAGGTTGTGCTGAAAAGCGGGGAATGTTATTTAGGGAGGCTACCTGGAAGAGTTTGCAATACCTAGCATTTACTCACTGTTCACAGGAGCAAAGGAACTGGCATTTGTGCCAGGCAAATTATTATGTAGTCTCAAGTAATCATTGCAACAACCCTATAACTAGATATCGTTATCTTCATTTTATAGCTGAAGAGTCTGAGACTCAGAAAGCTGATTTGTCCAAGGTCAAATGGGCAATAAGTGGCAGAGCCGACATTTAAATCCAAGACTGACTGTCACGTCTCTAACTCATGTTCCATCACACCAAACTTCCTTTTGTAGCAGTTCATCTGTAGAGAGCATGCCCCCCTGCTCTTAATTAATGAAGCTTTTCATGGCATGAAAATTCAGGAATTCTGTTATTATGATTCCACTTGTCTTCAGTTTGATGAACCTTTTGATAAGATGAACACTACTGCCATATTTCTGTGTAGCCAATCCAGCAGACCTAGCCCTCATAGTACTCTATTGATACGGGCCTAGATTGGAATCCTCTCCTGAGGGAGCAGCGACTTGCTGTAGTCAATATTGCTAATGAGTGGCAAAGCCAATATTTGACCCCAGGTCCAGTGTTCTCCCCACGGTGGCATGTAGATCTGCTGGAGCTGAGTATAGTGAGCACTGATTCTATAGCAGTGGTTCTCAATCGGGGGACATTTAACAATATCTAGAGATAATTCTGAGTGTCACCACTTGGGGGTACTGCTGGCATGTGGTGGGTAGAGGTTAGGGATGTGTAGGCCAGCCCCCCACAACAAAAAATTATCTGATCTAAAATGTCAGTAGTGCTGAGGTTGAGAAATCTTTCTCTAAAACAATTGGGTTTCAGGCGTTACTCCTGTAGAAGAGGTGAAATACCCAAAGTGAGCCTCCAAATCATACCTGTTAATGAGCTTGATTCTTTTAGAATTGGCTATTCTTTAGAGGCAGCAAGTGCTTATTAATCACCAGGCTTTATTCAGATTGTTATACTAGGCAAGATTAGGGATGTAGAAAAGTGTTAGACATCACATGTCCCCTCAGGGAGGTTAGAGACTTCTGGGGGAGGTTTAAGAAGATCTGAGTACGTTGCCCCAGCTGCAGAGAACAGCCCTGGTTTCCAGGAGCTGTGCACGCAGTAGTGGCTGTATCAGGGACTACCCTGACTGCAGTGGTGCTGCTGGCTTAAGGGAACCTTCCCCATAGCTGACTCTTCCTTTCCTCAGTTATGCGATGCCCACCAAGACCATGGAGGTGTTACGGCTGCAGGAACAAGGCAGCAAAATGTTCCTGGATGCAGTTCTTACCACCCATGAGCGAGTGGTTCAGGTAGGCACTCTGGGAGAAACCTGAAATGTATTTGCCTCTCCTGGTTCTTCTCTCTGTCCATTTTACCTTCTTCTGCCATGCCTGTCTCCTCCTCTTGCCTGTCCCTTGAATGATGATATTCTCCAGGTTTCAGTCCTCTACCTGTCCTTATGTAATATCTTTCCTCTACACAATCTCATTCATTCACCTGACCTCAGTAACTGTCATTATATACTGGTAATGTCTGGATCTCCAGTCATGATCTCCTAATATCCAGTTGTCTCCCAGACTTCTCCACTGGTGTGTTCCACAGGTACCCTACACTCAGGGCTTACAAAACTAATTTTAGAGGAATTGATGTCCTTTTATTTCTAGACTCCTCCCCACCTTTGAGACTAATGCTTGATCCTTTTTTGCTCTCTGATATCTATTCATTTACCAAATTCTAAAGTTTCTACCCCTAAAAATCTTTTAGCTCCATCAACTTTGCTTTATCCTCATACCACTGTCATCATGTCATTTTCCTGCTTAAAAGCCTTCAGCGGCTTCCCTTTAAAAGCTCTAGCAGTGGTTCTCTGTCTGTGCACTGCAGACAGGTGGGTGCAACCACACCACCATGAGAGTGCTCAGAGCTATTGAAAATTCACAGTTAACATCACCTCCCTTTTTTTAATAACAGCTTTATTGAGAGTTTTATTCCCATGCAATACAATTTACCCACTTGAACTGTACAGTTAAATGGGTTTTAGTACAGTCAGTTATGCAACCATCACCGCAATGTTAGAACGTTTTCATCGCCCCCGAAATAAACTCTACCCTTTTTCAGTCACTTCTCTCTCCCTGTCCTCCCGACGCCTAGCAACCAGTAGTCTACTTTCTGCCTCTATGGTTTTACCCCTTCTGGACCTTTCATTTAAACAGAATTATACAATCAATATATGGCCTTTTGCGTTTAGCTTCTTTCACTTAGCATAATGTTTTCAAGGTTTATCATGTTATAGCATGTGTCAGTACTTCATTCCTCTTTATTGTGAAATAACATTCCAATGGATATTACCCCTTTTTGATCCACTCAAGAAACATATCAGCAAGGTAATGAATGTTAAGGTAGTAACACCTTAAATCTATGTTAATTTTTAAAATAACTAAAGTACTTAAAATCTTCAATTCTTTAAATATTATCAGGAAAAAATTGAGATACATCTAATGACAGGTCTAAGTTGCTACCGAGGCCCATAGAATCAAGTCTGAACTCTAGGTTTGCACGCAACTGCCTTCATGATTCTCCTGCATTTTCTTCACGCTCCATTCATCCTAGCTACTCATGGAACTGGTTTTAATTCCCTAGTATTGTGCTGTGCTGCCACATTTTACTGAATATTGCTTCCTCCGTTTTGAAGACTCCCACTACTGTTGAATTCTCCCAGTTTACTCCCTTTTTTCTTCAAGACTCCACTCAGATGTTACCTCTTTTGGAAACTTTCCTTGACCTCCCCTGATTGATTTAGGTAGGTATTTCTCTGATGGGTTTCTGCAGGCCCTTCATACCCTTCTACCACATTATCTGATTCGCCTCTGGATTCTCAGCACAAGGTCCGACACCAATCAGTCATGGTCTATGTGGGTTAACTTGAGGTGAATCAGAAAGTCATCTTGGACTTGATAACCTCTTTGGTCCACTTATGACATCCATTGCCTACCATAGCAGATATAGGCCATGACCTTCTTGGCAAGCAGACATGTTGGCAGAGAGGAGGAGAAATCCTGCAGAGACTGGGCTCCGAAACCAGCTCTGGAAAATCCTTCACCTGAGGGTCGTCTAACTCTGCCGGAGCTGATCTTTGCGCCCATGCCATGTCTCCCTATCACCTAGCTTTCGGCACCTCTCTTAGAGCATTTTCTTTCCTTTTGCAGATAAGTGGTTTGAGTGCTACATTTGCAGAGATTTTCTTGGAAATAATCCAAAGCAATCTTCCTGAAGGAGTCAAATTGTCAGTGAAGGAGGTAGGTGCTGCTTTGAGAGGGGGCCCCCTGGTGGCTCACCTGTGTTCAAATATCTAGACTGCCTGGCTTTAGAAAAACAAAGAAATGTGGATAATTTAGCCCAGACAATAATCAGGAGAGGTGTGCAGGCTGGAATTACTGTGGTCATTATTTTGGCTTTTCAGAAATGATGCATTATAGACCACTAGCTGAAATCCACCACAGCATCCTGATGGTAGCGGTGAGCCCATCACCTCTCAATTCTCTCCGTCAGACAGCTATATAGCAAGAGCATGATTTAAGATCACATACAGTATAACTAATCAGAACACAAGTAGGGAAATGTACTTTAGAGAAAAGTTTCTTGGATCTTTGAGTCTTGACTATACTCTGACTGAATACATTTAATAAAGAATACCAGTAAGGAGGAAGTTTGGCATGGAAAACTTGGAATACATTAGGAACTTCAGCCTAAATATTGAGTATTTGGGTCTTGTTGCCAAGATGATCCTTATTACGACACAGATACATCAGGTTATCTTAGACCTATGCCATTTGCTGCATGCAGCTCTCTTGTTCTGAGTCCATGCTTGTTAAGCCTTTGCTTATTATTTTAGATATGTATCTAGGGAGAAAATGTACTGGTCATGTTGACTTGAAATATTCCAGTCT